TTGTCCCCCGACGCGGCGTCATCCCCCAACGCGCTCGTCCGCGCGCGCTCCTTCAATCTATCGACGATCACCTTCAGCGCGTCGTCGCACCTCCGCTTGGCCCTCCGTAACGCCTTCGCGTCCGACCCCTCCCCACCGAGCGCGTCCAAGACCTCACGAACCTCGACGTAGTTCAAAATCACCCCTCGCACGTCCTCTTCCGACGCATCGATCCTCTGCGCTTGCCCACGTCCCATCGCGCGCGCTAACTCCTCCAGAGCCGGAGCCGTCCGCAGCGCCGAACTCAACGCGCGCGCCAACCCTCTCGCCCCTCGCAATCGCTCCGCCGTCTCCCTCCGCGCGCTCAAGCGCTCGTGCGCCCGTTCACTCAACCTCTGCGCCGCACGCGCTCGCACCCGGACGTCTTCGCACTGTTTCAACATCTCCCGCGTCGCGTCCCGAAGCGCGCCCGCCGCGCCCGCCGCGCGCGTAAACGTTCCGTAATTGTCCCGAACCAGCCCCTGCGCGCGACTCGCGCACGCTCGGAGCTCTTCGCACACCCGGGCGTGCGCGCGCGTGATCCCATCGCCGTTTCTCGAGCGCACCGCGCGCGCGAGGACGGCGTCGACGTCGAATTCGTCGTCGCGCGATGTCTCACGTCGGGCCATCGGATCGACATTCGTCCCCACCGCGCCCGCGTCGTCGCCCGCGGCGTCGTAGTACCGCGCTAAGAGCGCGCTGGTGCGTCGCGCGCGCGCGTCGAGCGGGTGCGCGGACATCGGTCGCGCTCTGACGACGTCCGAAACGCGGCGAGTGGTTCGACACGACGCGTCATCCGTCGACGCGTCGGCGCGTCCGCGCGCTTTGAACGCGCGACGGGCGCGCGGGCGACGCTTGGCGACGCGGGATGGCCGACGACGGCGCGCGCGGGACGTTGGCGAGCGATTGGCGCGCGTTCGCGCTGGAGACGCAGCGGTCGTTTGAAGATTTCGCGAGCGCGAGCGCGCGGGTGGCGCGCGACGCCTCCGCGCGCGCCACCGCGGCGTCGAGGGAGGTGGTGAATACGTCCGCGACGTTGGCGCGAGAGACGTCGAGCGCGATGGCGCACGTGGACAGGGATCGAGTGATTCGATTCTTCGCGTGCGCGCTCGCGAGCGCGTTCGCGTACGGTTTGGGATTCTTCGTCGGTTTGCCCACGCTCCCGCTGGCGCCGGCGAAGTTCGGGTTGTGTTTCACGACGGGGACGATGTGCTCGCTCGCCGCGGTCGGGGCGCTGCGAGGGATGGAGGGACAGGTGAAACACATGACGAGCGAGGAGCGGTTGCCGTCGAGCGTTGGGCTTTTGATCACGACCGGGATGACGCTCAGGGCGGCGCTGTGGATGCACTCGTACGTGATGACGGTGTTTTGGAGTGTTTTGCAGGCGTTCGCGGTGGTGCACTATCAGGTGAGTTACTTTCCGTACGGAAGACAGGGGTTGCGGGCGACGGTCGCGGTGGCGACGCAAATCGCGTCTCCGGCGTGCGGCGGGTGTTTCCGCGCGCTCGGGTTCACGACGCGATCGAACGGGGTTTTGCCCGTGTAATCGAACGAAAGCGTAGATGGTGATGCGTGTGCAATTGTGTCCACCTGTATTTACCTGTATCAATCGTGCCTCACGGCGCGTAAGACGCCGACGAAGAGGACGCCGACGGCGCACGCGAAGACGAGATATCTTCTCGAGTCGTTCTCCTCCATCATCGTCGTCACCCACGAACCGGTCGATGCACCGGTCGATGCGTCAACGAATTTGCGCTCTAAGTCGTTGATGTGATCGGTCATCATACCCGCGACGTCGTCCGCGACGTTTGAATCGTAACCGACGGCGCGGAACCGGCGAAGCGCGCGCGCGGTGAACGGCCTCGGAGAGTTTTTCTCAAGCCACTCAAACATGAATAGTTGCCCGAAGCGCGCGGCGTGGACGTAATACGTCTCTGACCAGCGAAAAATGGCGTAACGACGAAGCACTTCGAGCACGCGCCAGTGTCCACCCTCGCACGCGCGCTCGGCGCAAATTTTGAGATCATCCGCGCGCACGCCGTCGCCCTCGGCGTTTTGCAACGCGTAGCGCATGACGTGCGCGTGTCCACCCGCAGCCGCCGCGTACGCGCTCGTGATCGGCACCGCCACCCCACAATTCTCACACAAAAATTTCACGCATCGCAAGTGCCCCCCCTTCGCCGCCGCGTACGCGCACGAGGCGTCGACGTACTCGCGCAAATGATTCGCCAACGTCGTCGTCCGTCCAACCGCCGCCGCCGCGATCGCCGCCCGCCGTCCCCCACCCCCATCTCGCAATCGATCGCACCGTAACAATCGGTCCAATATCGCCCCGTGCCCGTACCGCGCCGCGGCGACGACGCTTCGGTCGTCCACCGCGCACGCGCGGTCGAGGCACGCCCCCAACGCCCGGGCGCTCCCCATCTCCACCGCCAACAGGCTCAGCTCGCCCTCGTCGCCGTGTCGACACCGATCGATGATCACCGACGCGTCCGTGCGCGCGCCATCGAGCGCGAACGCGTCCACGGCGCGCGCGAACGTCGACGGATCCATGCGCGCGCGCGCACCGCGGGGTGCCGGTTCACATCCACCACCCCCGTCTCGGGACCGTCGGCGGGGGCGTCGCGCGCCGTCTCACGGGGCGTGCCGGGCTAAAATACGAACGTGCGCGCACGAACGTCCCGAGACACGCTCGGTTGGGTGACGTTCAAATCACCTGTTGAATCACGACCCGACACCGTGTGCGTTGAAATCACCGTCACGACCGATACGTCGTGATGGAGCCGACCGCGCGAGGCCCGGGTGAAAGTGTCCGCGTCGGACACGTTGGTCCGTCTCGCATCGGTCCCGCCCCGGACGATTGGACGATCGACGCCGAGCGCGCGCGCGGGCGCTCGCGCGAGAACGCGCTCGGGTGCGCGCGCTCGAGCGATCGTCCATGCCGCGATCGCCCGTCGAGGGCGACGCGCGATCGCCGACGCCGCGCGCGAAGGCGATCATTCTCTCGCTCGCGGCGCGATTGGTGATGAGCGGACGAGACGGCGTGACGGCGAGAGAAGTGGCGGATGCGATGCGGGAGACGACGTGCGCGCGATCGCGGGCGACGCTGGATGGAGATGGGTCGAATGGGACGAATGGGACGCGAGCGGCGGAAAAGACGTTGGAGGCGGCGACGACGCGCGGGGAGGGGTGGGTGAAGCGCGGTCGCGAGGACGTCCAGGGCGGGGAGACGATTTATGACTTTCCGGGTCGGGAGTATCGACCACCGAGGTCGTGGTTGGGGGGCGGGGGGGGTGAGAGAAAGGGCGGGACGCGGAAGAGGGCGCCGCACGCGAGCGTTCGGGACGTCTTGCGGTTGTGTCACGAAAAGGCGGAGACGCGCGCGGTGGAGGATGTCGTGCGTGAGAGAGGGTTCGGTGAGAACGCGACGTCGCCGGAAAAGCGAAAGGCGCCAAGAACGGTGAATCCGCTGACGGTTATCGCAGAGCGAGAGAAGTCACGTCAAGAGGCGAAGGAAAAGGCGAAACAGAACAAGTCGAGTGGTAAGTCAGCGAGCGGCGGCGGGAACACGACCGCCACGCAAGATGGAGGGGCAAAGAAGAAGCGTAAGGTGGATCTGGCGAACGAAAAGGCTGGGAATCACCTCGCGTTGGTGTCTTGGATAGGTAAGGGTAAGAAGGACGGCGTCCGGTGCGACCGAACCTTTTACGACGGGTTCACCCGCGACGGTGTCGAGTTCAAGAACGGCGATTCGGTGTACTGCTTACCCGAGCGTGCGACAGAGGACATGTACCTCGCACAGATTCAGCGATGCTTCGAGGACGAGGACAAATCGATGATGATTGAGTGTTGCTGGTACATGACGCAAGACGAGGTCCTCGCCTGGGGCGGAGAGATCTCCCCCAAGACCTCCCCGGACGAGATCTTCCTCGGTACATCCGTGGATGTCAACCCAATCTCTGCCCTCGAGGGTCTCGCCCCGGTTCGCACGCGGGAGCGGTACGAGAAAACTGCCTCTGTGCGGAAAAAGGTGACGGATCCCGCCGAGCGCGAGCTCTTCGCCGCGCGATGCTATGTCCCCGTCCACGGTTACAACCCCAAGAGCAAGAACGCGGCGCAGAGGAAAGCCGGGACGTTTTACCCTCTCGACCACGTCCCCGGTCGCGGGTTCGTCGTGCGCTGGCCCGCGAGTAAGAAGTCAAAATCCAAAAAACACTGAGCGTCCACTCTGAGGCGTGCACGACTTCAATAAAATACATTTCTAGACCCTAATACATACTTAACCATCCGCGAAACTGGTATAATTTGCGCGGGAAAGCTGTCTGTCGAAATCGCAAAGCGCTCGTTCAAACTACCACATCCTGCCTCTCGTTTGTCGTGATGCAGCCAGCTGCCCCACGCTTCACTGCGCTCGGCCCGTGTGAGCACCATCGCCCGTGCGCACACACGCTGCCCACGGTCGACGCGTCGCACGTGGAGCTTCTGGACGACGACGACGACGACGAGATTTCCAAATCGATCGATGATTGTTTCTCGTCGACGACGACGCGTCGTGAGACCACGAGGGCGCTTGCGACATTGATCGCGGAAACGGATGTTTCTTACCTGTGCGTTGCGCGAAATTTCACGCGATTCGAGGCTCGGGGGAGGACGGGACAGAGCGAGAAGTGCTCGCGGAGTAGATCTCGAGACTTTGAGACAAGACGACTGACGTCAGATGGACGGACGCGATTACGAAAACGTAGATCCACCACGTTAAGGCAAAGACGGCGAAAGTACGCTCGGGCGGATGCGGATCGGTGTCCAATAACGGCGGGAGTGACGGAGGCGGATGCGGGGTGTTTACAAGCGAGCGCGCGGGCGACGCTGCCGGCAACAGGCGACGGATCGAAGGAGCAGGAGATGACGGAGGCGATCGAAGGCGTAGAGGAGCGCGCGAGCGGTGAAGTGGCGGTTCCGCCGTCGCTCGCGCCGCGAGTGGCCATAGTGGCCACGGAGTTGATCGGATCGATCGACGGCGAGGCGTTGGTGGGGGATTTTGTGCGCGCGGCGGAGGATTTGAGAGCGCGCGCCAAGTTGGATGGCAACGAGGATAGGGTCGACGAAGACGTAGACGCGACAAATGTGCTCTCGGTGAGCGATATGCGCGATTTCAACTCTAGGTGTGAGACTCTGCGCAAGCGCGGCTTGCTCAAGGGCGTGGGTAAGAGGGAGATGGTGAAGGTGTTGGCGATGCTCGAGTGCGTAGCAAGGAGCGGAAGCGACACGCTCATCGGCGTAAACGAACAGACACGAGGGATAAACGCACAGCGCGCGCTCAAAGCGGTGGAGGCGATTGGGGCATATTTCGTCATCTTGTCCGCGTCGGACATGCCGAAGGAGATATACCGCGAGGAGGGAATTGATCAAATGATTGAGTACACAAAGAAACATTTAGTGCGAAACGTCTTCGTGTTCTACAACGCCGGGTGTTGGAACGTCCATCGCGGCAGCGAGGACAATAAAGGCGACGTCGCGGACGATCCAATGAGTACGAAGAAGAAGACACCGGCGAGTAAAGGGAAGTTATCGGGAGCACTTTTTGCGCAACCGCGTCTACGTCCAAGACGAGTGGGTCCCTGGGACAAAAGGTTGCGAAGATGTTGGAGGCAAAAATAGGCGTCGCTCTCACAAACTTGGCGGGCTTGATCTCAGTGCTGTCGCTTCCCGATGCGACTGTGTTACAGCTCACGTCGTTGGCTTTCTCTACGTTTGAGATTGAAGACGGCGTGAGCTTTACGCAGATCAAAGCGGTGGAACTCGTCGCAAGCATCTTTTCGCATTATTCAGAACATCGCGGATTCGTGATAGACAACATCCTGAACACCTTGATGAAGCTTCCGACCGAGAACCGTTTCACGCGAGGATTCAACGTTCCCTGTGAAAAGGAAATACACATTCAAGTCACGATGGCTCTGCTGATGAAGTGTCTGCAAGGCACCGTTGAATTCACCGACGTCGAGAAACCGACCAAATTGTCGACCGGTGAAGAGTCGAAGTCAACGGATGTTCACACTCGCGCATTCGGGTCAGCGTTTTACTGGACCAACTACTTTTGGAACGATTTACTGACGAAATGGCCAAAGACGAAAGCGGTGGAGAACGAGCGTCAGGTTCGATCCGTGATCAACAACGCGCTCGGAGACGCTCTGGCGTGCAGAAATCTCCCAGAGTGGCCCGTGTCGAATCTTTTGGTTCTTAACCTCGCGGGCAATCTCCTCGGGAGTACTGGTTTACAGTGTAAAGACTCAAAGATTCGAGAGGTCGCTGTAGACTTTCTCGGACAAGTTGCGTCAAAGCTTCGGGCGGATACGAAGGCGGACCAAGCGAGTGAATTTTCGCGCAAACTGCCTCGAGTGGAGGATTTAGATTTCACTTCCAACGCCGAGACGCTGTACGAACGCGCCATACATTTCGCGTATCAGGATTTCTTTATAGTTCAGAACAAGGTAGCGTCGGTGGGAGAGGCTACGGCCGTGGTGGACTACAACGAGGCCAGAGCCGAAACATTTGTGCTGGAATCAATTCTCGTTCGATACTTGGCTGAGAACAATTGCGGCGGCGCTTCGACGACCTCCACGCGTGAGAATGAAGAAGACGTCGATGGACGACCTACCAGCGATGAAGGTACTGAACCTGCCGCGCACGCTCGCTTGACGCTGAACACGTCCGCGATGTCGTACCACTTGTGTCAATGCGCTCGGGACGCAGAGCGCGCGGGTATCGGCTTTCGACAAGACCTTGAAGCGGGAGGATCGCGGTCGATGTACAGCGCGTTGTACGCTCCCATGGTACGAATCGCCGAGACCGCTCGTAGCGCCGGTCGAGGATCACATGCGAGTCTTCCTCGCGATCTCGCGGTGGCTCTGTGTCTGCACCTCAACTTGCGTCGACCGCTTGCACGTCAGATTGATGTACTCGTGCAACGCCTGACCAGTATGCTCGACGATCCGAGCGTCCTGGTGCGAACGAGCGCGACGAAAGCTATCGGAAGTATGGTGTACGAAGACTCGCAGCTTTTAGAATCACCAGAGATCGTTCGTGCGCTCCAATTCAGGTTGAAGGACACCGGCTCGTCAGTGCGCGCCGCCGTCGTCGACGTCATCGGTAAGCAAGTGGTTCAAAATATCGATTTGGCGGAAAAATACTACGAGCTAATCGAAGATCGCGTGTCCGATGTCGGTGTCTTCGTGCGCAAGCGCGTGGTCACGATCCTCCAAGAGTGCGTACGCAATCCACGGTTTACAAAAAGAGATCAGGCGATGCAAGTGCTCGCGTTTCGCATATTAGACGAAGACGAAGGACTACGATCACAAATCGTGAAATTTTTCCGACAAGTATGGTTCTCGCCGTTCGGTTGTGGCTCCGATTCTGACGATGATCGTCGCGGCGACGATGAGGGCGATGAAAACCGTCGCACTTCCATGGCTGACGATTCGTCGCATCTGGCCATCCTGCGCGACTGCGACGGCCAGGAGAATGATGCCGTGGCGGATCGAGCGCATCAGTTTGTCAACGTCTCCTGGAATATACATACACTCGTCTCTCGGAACGGCAAGCAAAAACTACCTTTGCTGTCGTCTTTTCCGATGGTTGCCATTCTGAGCGCGGTGTTATTCCCGAGTGAAGATGAGAAGCTAGATGCCTGGGTCAACGTGAGCAGCATGCAGGTAGTCGCGCGAAAATTGGCGTCCCAAATGCTACACGCTCTCATCGAGAGTGAGTCGGAAGAGGGACGTCGGTTCAATGCGCTCGACACTTCCGCGGATGTGGAAGAAGAGGCGACGGGTGTCGTCCTTGAGGACGAGCTAGTCGCGGGAGTGACGCCGGATGCGGTACCAATGAGCGTCAAGTACGCCCTCGGCTTGCACATACTCACCGTCGTGGACCCAGTGCTGTGTCTACCCAAGGGTGACACGACCTACTTCGCCGTCGCGTTGCAGCCGTATCTCAAGCGTGTGGACGACCGCACACCCTTCGTCAGTGAAAAGCTGCAGTGCTGCATGTCCGTCATACACATGGTCGCCAAACACGCCGGACGTCTCCCATCGAAAGTGGCAAAGGAAGTCGAACGAGATCTTCGCATCCTGCTGCTCCGTCATCACGATAAATCAGTGATTTATTACGCGTGCAAAACGTTGTGCGCCGTCGCGGAGACGCGCGGGAGCAAAGACAGTGGAACAATATCCATGCTCCAGCGTTTCATCTCAATCATCCTCGAGAACATTCAAGACGGCAAGCCACTCAGCAAGCAGAATAAATCTCACTGCGCTCGGTCGTTGTACGTGCTCGGTAACATCGCCAGATTCGGTGCTGACGTTATCGAGGCCGCCGTTGAGCGAGGAGATTGCGAAATCACGATTCAGGATCTCCTTCGTGTTTTCCGCAAGGCGCTCGAGTCTCAGCCTGACGGCGAATACGAACTCATTCGAGATGCTCTCGGAGCGTGCGGAGATTTATTCGTCGCTCGACCTGAATTGATGTTCAATAAAGAAGGCGGCTTCGGTAAGGGTAGCTTTGACGCGATCATGCGAGCCGCGCTAGCGACGGACTCCGAGCGCTGCCTCAAGGAGCAGGCGCTATCAAATCTCAACGAGTTAATCCACGAGGAAGAGTTCCGAATGACGGCCACGTTTGGCGGCGGCAACGGCGCGAACACCGCTGGAGAGAACGCTACCGTGGCTTCGACGAAGGGTTCAGTGCTCAAGTCGGCTGAAAAGCGCTCGCGAGAAGCGGAAAGGTTGCAAATCGTGAACGGTCAGAGCGATCGGTCCATTGCCGGCGGCATCGCACAGCGCTACTGGGAAGACGTGTTGACGCTGTGCATTGATTCCGCCCACATCGTCCGCTTGAAAGCGCTCCACTTGGTCGAAGTCATTCTCCGCCAAGGATTGGTCCATCCGGCAAGCGCGTTCGCCACACTGATTGCGTTACAGGTCGATCCAATTCCGAGCGTCAAACGTTTGGCGCGCAAGCTCCTGAAGGCGCAGGTGCAGCGCCACGGCGAATTCTTCGAGCATCAACTCACGAACGGCGTCGAGCTTATGTACACGTTCAAGAAGAGACTCGAAAACGGCGTTCGTCGGCGCCGCGGGAACGCACAAATGAACGCTCCCGACGCCGCTAGCGGGTTTGCTTTTGTCTACGGATTGGTGAACTCCTCGAGGACGTCTCGAAACGCTTTTTTGAACACGCTCCTGCGACGCTTCGAAACATCGAGTGGGGCATCGGACGCGCTTTTCTTGCGTTTCCTCGCCAGCGTCGTCACCGAACTTCCATTCACGTCAGTGGATGAGGCGCTGTACGTCATCTTCCAACTCAACCGAGTGCTCTCACTCAAGGGCGGTCTCCTGCTCGAGCACCTTAACCAAGGTGTGCAGGCTTCCGCGACGAAACCCGAAGAAACCGTGCCCGAGGACACGTTCAGGAAAGACGTCGAACTCGCGTCCGCTCTGATTGTCGTTTTACTTCTCAAGTCGCACATCAAAAGGGCGTACGAGTTATCAGATGCGCGCGTGGCCTCGTACGTCCCGACGGAGGCGACGAGAAACGCCGAGGTGGTACGATTCAACTCGGACGTCAAGTTTGAGACCAGTGAGCTCGTAGATGCCACGGCGGGCCAATCCCTTCACGCCGCGCGAACCGTAGTGGAGACGTTTCGCGATCTCATGACTCGAGACGCAAGTGACTTCGCCCAGGACATGTTTAAGCGGACGGCAACAAAAAGACGGGGAAGAAAAGCCAAGGCGGATAGCGCCGGCATGGAGAGTGATCTAAAGACGAGTACTCCGAAACGTAAACGCGGACGCGTCGTGGTTTACGACGAAGACGAAGACGAAGACGAAGACGAAGACGAAGACGAAGACGAAGACGAAGACGAAGACGAAGACGACCAAGATGAAAACGACGCGGCGGCTCCCGGTCTCCAATCCGCCGGAATTAGATTGACGAACAAGCACGGTCGAAAATCAGCGTCGACGAACGCGAAGTCGCCGAAAAAGACACCCCAAAAGACGCCGAAGAAACTGAGATTCTAGAAACTACACATTAGCCTGATTTACAATTAGTAGCGCGATAGCATAAGAGCGTGCAACAAACGAAAACGATTCATTCCCATCTTGGTGCGACGTCACCTCGGCTCTCATCCCTACCAAGCCTGAGGTAGCACGCCCGACACGCCGGCGCGTACTTCTCACTCCCACCCACGCTCACGACGTCCTCTCCGTCGCCGAGATCAACGACGCGTCGACTGAATGAACTCGCGCGTCCGCACTCGGCGCACGTCCCTCTGAGCCGCGTCACCGAATCGCACATAGGAATCAAATCTAAAACCTCCCCGAATCGCCGTCGACGATAATCCCCGTCCAATCCCGCGATATAGACGATTTGTCCTCTCTTCTCCGCGCACTCAAGCGCGAAATCGATCAACCCAGGCATGAACTGTGCCTCGTCCACGGCCACGACGTCCGCCCGCTCGAGCGCCTTCGCGTCCTCCGAGGCAAACGTCCACCCGTTCTCCGTCCCGATCGCTCGCACTCGAGCCTCCCCGAAATCGCAACCCTCGATCGTATTACACACGCCCTCCTCGTCGCCCGTGAACGCGTCGCCGTCGTGCGTGACCAACGAAGTCTCCGCCCGTGCTCCGAAGCGCTCGGCCTCGAGTGAAGACGTGATCGCGAACACCGCGTTCCCGCTCGATCGCGCAGTCGCGAGTTTCCGAGCGAGCGCGGAGGTTTTCCCGGCGAACATTGGTCCCGTGATGACGTGTATCTCCCCGACGCGCGCGCGCGCGCGTCGTCGCGGACCCACTTCGTCGGCGATTTCTAAACAAACGTCAGCTCTGAGATCTTCGTCGCCTTTGCCTCGGCGCGCGAATGGGAGTGGGCGCCCCGGGCGTGAGGGAAGAAATCGCGACCGCGAGGATACGGGCGAGTTTGGCGACGCGAACGCACGTTCCATTGCGGTCAAGTTCTGGCCTCAGCAATGATTGTGTTAAGTGGAGCATGTCAAAATAGAGGGCGCGTCGGCTCGAAGTATCGTCCAGAAATATTAGCTTGGTGACTCTACATATGTTTCCCAAGTTTCTAGATTTTCTTCACAAAGAGAACCTGCTTATAGTTAGTTAGAGACATGAAAGCGCGAACGAGGGCTCTCTTCTCGACTGCGTCGCAGTCACTGCGAACAAGTTTAACCTTCAAACGGAGCAAAGATTACGCACGAGTTGTGGCCACCGAAACCAAACGAGTTGCTGATGGCTGCCGTCACCTTGTGTGCTTTCTTTTCGTTCGCACAAGTATCAATGCCGTTAACAATAGGCTCTTGTTCTTGTTGGTTGAGAGTGGGATGGAGCGACCCCGTTTTGATTGCCATTATGCAGGCAATCGCCTCCATACCGCCCGCTGCCCCGAGACAGTGACCAATCATCGATTTTGTGGCATTCATTTTCACGTTTTCGACGTCTTTAAAGACCTTGCGAATGGCGTTGACCTCGGCGACATCACCAACAAGTGTAGACGTAGCGTGCGCATTGATGTAGTTGATGTCAGATACCGTAATACCTGCATCTTTGATGGAAAGCTCTATGCAAGTGGAGACGCCTAGGCCGTCAGCTCGAGGATCGGTCATATGGTGCGCGTCGCACGTGATGGCTCCACCGAGATATTCCGCGTGAATGCGTGCGCCTCTCTTCCTTGCACTTTCCAAGCTCTCCATGATAAGGACACCAGCACCTTCACCCATCACAAATCCGTCTCTCGATTTGTCCCATGGGCGGGAAGCTCCTTCTGGATCATCATTGTTTTGACTGAGTGCCCGACAGGCCACAAATCCACCGAGACCGACGGGAATGATGGGAGCCTCAGAACCACCTGCAACCATGATGTCAGCATCTCCTTTCCTGATGTGGCTCGCGGCAGCGTGGAAGGCGTAGTTTGCCGTCGCGCAGGCCGTCGAGATTGAGTAATTCGGTCCCATGAAGCCTTTTTCAATAGCAAGCATGGCACCACCCATGTTCGTGATCGCATATGGGATGAAGAATGGAGTGATTTTTTTTGGACCCTTTTCCACGAGTGCCTTCACGCCATCTTGAAAGACTGTCAAGCCTCCCATACCACTACCAACGAGGACTCCAATGCGCTGCTTGTCAATATTTTCGATGGCAGCGGCGTCAAGACCCGCGTCTTCCAATGCTTTATTCCCAGATACAAGAGCGTATCGGAGGCAGTCGTCAAGGCGCCTGTCGTTCTTCTTATCAATGTAGCCCTCACTGTCAAAAGCGCGAATTTGCGCTGCAAATTTCGTCGGAAAGTCAGTGGTATCGAAGCGATCGATGGGGGCGACTCCACTCTGACCAGATAGAAGCTTGTCGTAATACGTATCATAGTTGTTCCCGAACACTGAGCACAAACCCATACCAGTGATCACGACTCGCTTCTTCGGATCCGTTTCACGCGCCATAGCCACAGTGGCGCAGCGAGATTTTGATTTTGGTCGAAACGAACCAGCGACTAAGATGTTATGCGTCGAGTGCCTACTAGTCAGCGAGTTCATCATGACGGCTACGAAGTTCGAGTACTTGCACGTCCGGAAGCTGTAAACAAACAAAAGCGACGCTAGTTGGTCAGTACGGCCCTTTGAAAACAATAGTCACATAAAAAGTAGAAAGTCGTAGACTGAGCTACAACTTTGCAACGCATTCATCGCAATAGACACGCACGCGAAGTGCGAGATAACGTTCGCTTGGAGCAGATAAGGGCGTGTCGGATCAAAAGAAAGTTTGAAGCACATCGTGTTACGCTACGAAGTCGCGATTCCAAATGGAGTCGTACCTTATAAGCTTAGCTATCGCTGTGCTATGCGACAACCGTTAGTGCGCGCGACGTCGGCTGGTGTGTAGTCACAAAAGCCCTGCATTCAAGCCTGCCCGGTCAGGTAGACAGGTTCTTTTAACATCAAACCCGCATCCGGACTATGTACGTTTCGAAGGGCTGGGGGCTGGGCTGGGTCCCCCGAGACTAACGAGTCATGATTCGTTGACGAAATACTTATTGTGTATCTTTTAGTAGAATCACGTCACCGTGTCACATCTACTACCGGGTGTTCCTACCTTGTTGAAAAAAACACGTTCGCCTCGCGTCTTCTCCACCTAGGTTGGTCGCATCACGATCTATGAGTCGTGATGCTGACGCCCATCACGAAGTTTCGGGTCGTGATGCAGATCGTGATGCCGATTTTACCCAACCTAGGATTCTCCAGTGGAGATTCTCCACCCTTGTCTGTTAGGATTATTGCAGGCTAAATACGGTTATATAGCCTTCCCGAGTCCTGAGTACGTAACGAGTTATGACTCATTACATGTAGACTCTAATTCGAGGCAACGAGCTTACACATTATAATAATCATCAGATCTTTACGCACAGAACACGCTACGACGCGATCACCACGGGACCTTAAGCTTACATTGTCGCCCAATTACCCCGAATTACCCCTATTACCAGCTAATATATCTTGAGTCATAACTCGCCAAACGCTGCCGTCATTTGGAGGCAGAGAGACCCACCCTTGCGACGTAATAGTTCTTTTCCGCGTACAATACGTATTTCGTCAACGAATCATGACTCGTCAGTCTCGTGGGACTCCTCTGAAGGGGGATTTTGACTAATCTCGGGGTAGGTTGTGCACACCTTTTCTTGAGTCATAATCCGTCACGCCATGTATGGGTAAACAGTATGATCGGGGTACTCCAACTTGTGTTTTACCTTGTACAAATTTCGGCAAGTTTTCGCAACACGCGACATGTGTGCGCGGATAACGCGCCGACGAGGCAGCGAGGACGTGCGTCGCGATGAACAGTTGTAGATACATGCATGTCACATCAGATTCATCCAGTTTCTGTGGCATACGACGGACATAGCGACGTGCTCACGCAGTTCCTCGCGCTCTGGTACTCCACCCCAAGCTCTCAAGAAACCACGTCTAAACCCTACATAAACCCTACATAGGGTTTAGGTATCTTTTTCTCGCGAGTGTTCTACGCGCACAAGCGCTCGACGTGTCACTTTCATCCGCGTTACGGGCTTCAGAAAGGACTTTGAACGCCTTGTGTTGTCCATCGTATCCATTAAACTGTGGTGTCAGCGCGTATTGCACGTGCTGTGCATGTGTCATCAACCCTAACTAGGGTTTGGTTAGGGTTTAGGTAGGGTTTGGGCAGGATTCAAGGTGTCTCCTCACGGCTTTGTCAGGGTGAGGTTGTTCTGCCTTCTACATTCGACTGAGCGATTTCTTCTCGTGAGAACGTCAATGATCCGATAGTGTGTGATGGATACTACGTGTGGCGAAGCATGTGCACGTCCTCGCTGCCTCGTCGGCGCGTTATCCGCGCACACATGTCGCGTGTTGCGAAAACTTGCCGAAATTTGTACAAGGTAAAACACAAGTTGGAGTACCCCGATCATACTGTTTACCCATACATGACGTGACGGATTATGACTCAAGAAAAGGTGTGCACAACCTACCCCGAGATTAGTCAAAATCCTGCGAAGGGGCGTGGCTAAATCTCACCGGGAAGCAACTTTTTATCAAAATATATCACCTAAATATATCCACGTGAGATGAATCAGGCAGTTTTGCGTCATGGAATCGCTCAGACGTGCGCCCATTACGTTCGACATCACGCTGCTGTCCTTCCTTTGCGAGCAGAAACTCAAATACTCTAAACCCTATATAGGGTTTAGTTAGGGTTTAACTAAACCCTACATGTGTTCATCGACGCCAAATGCTCGTCGACACGCATCGATTCGACGTTCGCGCCACAGCAGATGCTCAAATCGTGCACAGAAAGCATTTCACACACGCGCTTCTCGACGGTAAGCGTGTTTGATGTTCGAATGATGTCGGCATTCACGAATGCTAAACCCTAATTAGGGTTTGGTCAAACCCTAATTAGGGTTCGGAGCGTCTTATGAAAAGTCCACGCGTGTCAGCACCAGACGAGAGTTGCAACGTCGATGGCGCGCGTTGTCAGCAAATCGGCACCATGGAAGTCATTGATTCACCAAGAGCAGGTGTGTTGTCATCGTTTCAAGTGTTTGTACCGTATTCATCGTAGATTCGTCATTCACACCGCTTCGTTTCACACCTTTAGGTGTCGCTGCTGTTGTTTGTCACAAATTTTCAGAAGGTTAAAACACCCGAAAGTGGCTCAACGTCCGGGGAGTCCCAAAGAAGCGTGGAGTCAGGACTGGTGGTGTTTTTGGTCATTTATGCCGTTTTTATATTTTTACAATGGCTTAACTCTGTCTAATGTACGATCAATAGTTTGATAAAAAGTTGCTTCCCGGTGAGATTTAGCCACGCCCCTCTGAAGGTGCGATATATAAATTTCTCCTAACATAGTATAGACTATGCGCTGAAATATTTTTTCCTCATGGGTATAGCCATATTCAACATAATTTGATCCAGTTTGCTTCCTCTGCCACACTTCGCCCGACAATGTCGGGTCGACATCCAGTTCGTGCGAGCCAACACCCGTGCACTACAGCTCGCGCCGCATGGGCCGTAGCGCTCGAGTATCGTTGAGTATTAGTTGAAACATCGTGACTTCCGGTGAGAATGGGTACGCTTATTATCATCACACCATACGTCGAGTCTCACGCACTGTTTTCCGAGCAGGTATCAAGGAAGGCTTGTCCGAGCTTTGGGACGACTTAATGTCTTACCGGACGCTCAAGGTCGTAAAGATCAGCGACAAGCGATTGGCCTACGTTCACAAAACTCTCATGGCGGCTATTCTTTGCTACGCGTTAATCTCTGTGATCGGAGCTCACACATACATGCTTAAGGAAAAGCCCCGTGTGTACATGTCAACCACCATAAATGATACCGTCAGAGATCTCAGCGTTACCGACGCCACAACGCTGGAGCAACTTTACTGCAACTCGTCATTTGCAAACTTTGTGGGTGACTCATTGGTTCCAGAGGGGGCGTACTTAAATAACAAATGCGTCACTTACATACCAAGCTCACAAATTGTTGAAACGAACGACGCGGCAACGTTTGTTGCGACGCACATACGATCAAGAGCATTCACGAGGTGGTGCGAAAACAATGTGACAAAAGTCGGCTGCAGTATTAAATATAATCCCGACGAGAATCAGTTTCCACTCGATCCGGATAATCTAATTTTACAATTCCGCCCACGTTTTGTCACGAGTTGGGGGTATAACGGGTATCCGTCAGAAGTCATCGTCTACGATTCTGCATTCACGGCCTTCAAAACGTTCCTCACCACGAACACGAATAGTACGGAAAAATATCCTATCATGTACCTGCACGAAGTTCTTCGCCTGGCAGGAATCGGACTTGATGACAGGAACGAATTAGATGTCTCAACTAGCTTTTCCGCGGAGTTTCCAATTTACCGTTTGACGGGTGTGCGCTTGAGCGTTGAGTTGACCTTTAGCAATTTCCGCCCCATGTCACATTTCAAGCCGTTTGATTTCACGCCGCAAGCGACGATGAGCATACAGCTAAACAGCAAAGGAAGCTTTGTGACGAGTTTGGACACAGTTCACTTTTCTGGGCGAGCTGAAGATATTTCAGAAAGCGGAACTATCATGGAGTATAGAGGAGTGCAGTTGGAGTATGGCGCAAAGGGATTGATGGGTAAAGCTGATCCATACACGGCTATGATGGCAATCATGAGCTGTTTTATCATGGTCTCAGTTGCAACAACTGTAGTTGATATCATAGGCGCTTTTATATATGACTCGTTCAAGGATGACAAAATAGAAGATGACGGCGAGCGACAACACTTAGAGCACATGATTTTAAACTTAGAGACTGTTGGGGTTCCATTTGGACATGACGATTTGCAGATTCTTCCGAATGTGTCAATGAAGGAGTTTCTACAGTTGCTTCAGCGCGACATTGTGAAGTTGAATGCTTTGGCCCATCACATGAGCCGCGACCTCGCCGCGGCTGGATTGAATCAGCACACCATGTCCATTCAGCAAACATCAAAACAGGCAGGTGGGATGAAGTATAAGTGTCGACTCATCGCACCAGATAGAACGGATATTTATCTCACTGGAGGACCGCAAACTATCGGACGTGGTCACGGAGGTTGTGACTCAAAGCGCATTTCCCACAAGCAGTTGAGCATAGTGGCGAATATACAGACAGGCGTTGCGTTGGTCAAGGGTCTGCACACGAAGAACGTGTCGGGAGTGGCACTGGCAGGTGGTGCCTGGCAGACGCTAGGCCCCAACGATGAAGCTGAACTTGAGGCCGGTGATATGATCACACTGCTTTTAGACCAAAACGAAGATGAGACAAGCGCAGACGGTGTTTTCATTTACGTTGTCGAAAAGTTAGAGGAGTTGCAGAATAAGAGCTGGTTCAGCTTTTAAGGTATGAGGAAGAGGGGCTTGTTGCTGCAGTGGGTTGTTGCTGCAGTGGGTCGTTGCTACACGACATTGAGACTAATGAGTATGGCTTGAAGATGATGGCTGAGAAGTTCTCTCAGCAGCAACTGCATGCCAAATTTGATGATCTATTTCACTATGTTCTTTTTTGTAAAAGATTTCCAAAATATTCCAGCTTCCAGCGCGTTCGTCTGTAGTGTGACCATCTATCATGAAATAGTGCAGCATTACGCTCTGTCTCCGTGTCCATCGTCGACAAAGTTGCGAAGAATAACGCTGCCTGTTGAAGAAGATCACAGCTAAAAGATTCCATTTGATAGCAAGCTTACCTCCAACCAGGTCAAAACTTCACACATCTGAGCTTCATAGAACAGCTCTTGGTGAAGAAGCATGAGAAACTAAAAGTGTTGCAAGTATGTGGCTCACCAGAAACAGTAAATTTCGAAAGCTCAGCTCGTCTGTGGTAAGAATCCAAAAACGAAAGTAAAGCGGCATCATAAAACAACTTCTCGCTGGTTCGGAAAAGCTTCATACTGTCAAACCCACGATAATTTGGGCCCGCTAGATCAATATCAATCAACTTCGCATGTTTTTAGATCGACTGTTGAACATCGATTGCTAGCATACCTTCATTGATCCTTTTTGCTCATGAATAATGTTCGAAGGTTTTAAGTCGCCATGACAAAAACACACATGGATATCAACCTTCTATGATTTTGTTAAGATATTTTGAGACCCATAACTAAATTCACTTTACTTGAAATATCGATTCTACTCTGAAAATTTCTTCCGTCAGCTCCTATGAAGAAACTTGTATAATGGTGCTTGTGTCAACATTGAACAAGTCAAACCTGAAGTGATATATGGCCGCTGATTGCTCCCTTCACAAAAAAAGTGAGCGCTTCAGGTGCGGGTAGATGTAAACGCAAATACCTTTCGTTGCTGTAGTTCGAGGGTCATTTGATGAAGCCAGCTCCAAATGAGAGCGTCATCTATGCGAAATTAAGTCGAATGCTACAACTATAATTCGCACCACGCACTATCAGCCATTTCCAACGAATGCAGAGTGGTTATCCTAGACCATCGTGACAAAAGTATCTAACAATGATGAAGCTTTGCGTACAGTGCAGCTAGCGGCTCGTGAAATGTATCATTAGTCATACTCTCTTCTCGAAGAACATCACCTTCCAAGTACTGACTAACGATGATGTCTTCAGTACTCGCAACAAACAGTGGAGTTAGACCACTTCCTGCAAGAGCTCTGTGTGTCTGAACACAACTAATATAAACTATGGAAAAAATGAAACTATTATTCAGGACGGTCACACCTTTGCATGCCCGTTCGCATCTTCGACAAAGCACTATACTTTTTCACAACATACACTCCGTCCTGACTTGTAATCTGGAAAACAAATTAAACTTGTGCGGCTTTGTGTGCAGCTGTGGTACTCCCCACCTTGAAAACACTGTTACAGAAACCTTCCGTAAACTGAGTCAAACTAATTCTGCGGAGTAAGTCACTTAGACATCTTCGAGCAGTGGCAACCAATCTGAGTAATAGACCGCACCTTCGTATGTCCTTCAAGCACAGTTCACGCTGTAGCACAAGTAGATCAGCCTCAGTCAAACCGTGAGACTCACCTGCAAAACGAAGACAAATTCGTCTAGGGTGCAGTATAAAACGCCCGAATCTGCTCGCGGGCGACAGAGCATTCTTTGCGACGCGTGGTATCAGATATTTCGACTCGGAGGGGCCGACTGAAATAAGTGACAACATGATGGCCGCAGTGTGATCAATCGCTCAGCGTACGAGTTTTCTTACTCGGACCGGCACTACTCGCTCTTGTCGCACGCTGCGAGTGGAACGTACGGGTACACTGGTTGGTACAAGTATGTGGTTCCGCGGGTCACGGTGACCCGGTCAACGGTTCGTGGTTCGCATAGTCTTTTGGTGACTTGCCCGTGGTTTTACAATGGCTTAACTCTGTCTAATATACGATCAATATTTTGATAAAAAGTTGCTTCCCGGTGAGATTTAGCCACGCCCTGGGATATGTGGGTGAGTCGATGGCGTGCCATATTTACATCGATGTAAGCTTACATCGATCGATGTAAGCTTAAGGTCCCGTGGTGATCGCGTCGTAGCGTGTTCTGTGCGTAAAGATCTGTCGTTTCATTAAAAGTCTAAGCTAGTTGTCTCGAACTCTAGAGTCTACATGTAATGAGTTATGACTCGTCACATACTCAGGACTCGGGAAGGCTATATAACCGTATTTAGCCTGCAATAATCCTAACAAAATCACGTGATTTCAATAACTTTATGCTAATTTTGGTGCTGTTACCCCCATTTTTCGATAACTCGTCGATAACTTTAGTTATCATGAACGGTGCTGTTAGTCGGCCTTAGTCAAAATCCTCTGAAGGGGTGTGATAGAAACTTTTACAATATGTGACTGACCCGAGAAGCCATACTTGCAACCCGACGTCACTGCGTGTGCTGGAGTGTTCCACGACACGCCCGAGCGGAGCAAACGCAATAGCGTCTACGAATGCGCAGTGCTTTGAAACGGCAATGCCTCGCGCGTTTTATGCACAAAGCATATCGCGCGGGAAGCCGTGGTTTTCCGGGCGAGGGGATACTGCCCTGCGCTTGTGGGGCAAAAAAAGCGCAAACGCCGCGCGCTGTCGCTCGCGAAGGTGGGGCATTTTCTTTCAATGTTTGTACGAACATAGTTACTTATGACGACTTTGGCAGATGTGTTCATCGATGTCCCCGAGAACAACGTTACCGAGTACATATATGATAAAATTGGTGCAAACTTGCACCGTAAACCAGAACATCCGCTGTGCATACTGAAGAGCGCAATAATGGACTATTTCGATGAAAGTTACGGTGAAGGTAATTTTACAATGTTCGATGACTTGTGCCCGGTGGTGTCTACCTACGACAATTTCGACTCTGTCCTGGTGCCTGAGGACCATGTATCACGTTCCTTGAACGATACATATTACATCACCTCAGACACTGTCTTAAGATGCCACACGTCTGCTCACCAGCTTGGTCTTCTGAAGCAAGGAGAGACACGATTTTTGGTAACTGGTGATGTGTACAGACGAGATTCTATTGACGCCACGCACTTTCCCGTTTTTCATCAAATGGAGGGAGTCAGGGTATTTAGCAAAGAGGAAACATCGAAGAGCGACCTCACCCCACACGAGCTTGCAAGTCAGGAACTAAAGAATACGCTTGAAGGTCTCGCGCGGCATTTGTTTGGCGAAGTAGAGCTTCGCTGGGTGGATGCATACTTTCCTTTCACGAATCCTTCATATGAGCTTGAAATATTTTTCAACGGCGAGTGGTTAGAGGTTCTTGGTTGTGGTGTGATGGAAAAGCGAATTCTGCGTGATGCAACTTTCGCGGAAGAAGAAGCTTGGGCATTTGGCCTAGGACTCGAACGCTTAGCCATGGTGCTCTTTGGTATCCCTGACATCAGACTTTTCTGGACCACCGACGAGAGGTTTACTAAACAATTCAAGCCTGGAATGTTTCGCAGTGGTGGCGTTGGCATGCAGAAGTTTAAAAGTTACTCGAAGTATCCTCCATGCTACAAGGATGTTTCATTTTGGCTACCGAACGACAGTAGTTTCACAGAGAATAATCTCTGCGAAGTTGTACGCGCAACGGCAGGTAGTCTTGTTGAAGAAGTCAAGCTAATCGATGAGTTCTGCAACCCAAAAACAGACAGGGTGTCCAACTGTTACAGAATCACTTATCGGTCCATGGATAGGTCACTGACGGATGATGAAATTAATGCATTACAAGAATCCGTACGGGTCTCTCTCGTTGAGGAGATGGGTGTGACCCTACGATAGGCGTGTTATTAAAAGATCCCATTGATCGGTCTGACCCAAACCCTAAAGTCGTCACACGTCCTCAGTTGACGTCGTACTTGTGAACCCACTTCGCCCGAAGTGCGCATCTAACACAGATATCGTGAGGTTCGGCGAACATCGTCTCATTCTACGGCTGCAGTGGTACTGTCGCCTTCGTCGTCGGCACAAGTAGTCACAGAATCGAACGTGCCCGATGTACCATGAGCAGAAAGCCGGTAGCGGTGCCGGCGTCGCGTATAACTGCGGAGGTAAGCATTGAAGAACGCTTTTACACCGTGTCCTACTCACTTTTACTCACTTCGCGCTGGTAGATTGTGGATCTGAAGTACTTCTTCGTCCCGGCGATGTTATAATTTGCAGAGAGTGTGGGTATCGCATCCTATACAAAAAAAGAACGAAGCAAGGTACGGAATTCACGTTCAGCTAACCTATTTTGTCAAATTTACATTCTTTCTACTGTCAGTGGTGCAGTTCGAAGCTAGATGAAGGGCTATCCGTCGTGTAATCAAAACTGTATTCCAGTCACCAGCGTACACGCCTACTCGCTTCACGTCAAGTCAGTAAATCACGCAACTGAGCCCGTGTCTTTCCATTTATGTCCACACGATATACATTGAAAAAACAAAGACATTCCTTCTGTAGTGGTCTGTGAGAAAAATACCGCCTCCTTTGTATCACACAGTGCGCACTGGACGTCCTTCGAGTGTGGCAGGGTTGGATCTGTCCTTACGTCGTGCAACACTGCGGTAATCTCGGAGGCTGAGTGGGAGATAGTTCGTCTATGCACGCAGCTATCACTCGCAGCGGCCGTGAAGTCGCAGTTACGACAAAAGTATACCAATCTCTTGTTTTGCCGATCTTCTTTCGGGTAAAGCAGATCGTTACTATTTGGACAAAATCTCAGTGGCACTGTGCCAGTTTGAGGAGCACCCTCGGCATTCTCCATCGTGCTCGGAATGACGTACGGTTTCATCCACACTGATACGTTCGTTATTGCGCTGCGCTTCGCGCACTGTATCGAGGCTCCGTCACGTCAGAGGCTCACGAAGTGAAGGGTCGAAAGTAGGCCTGCACTGGGAAGCTAGGTTGGGTAAAATCTGAATCACCTTCTAAGGCCGACTAACAGCACCGTTGTTAACTTTGACCATAACTCCGACTTAATGACAGAGTTATCGTCATTGGGACTAACAGCACAACAGCTGATTTCGATAACTTTTCCATAACTTTGACCCCCTCCTCGTTAACTCAAGAGCTGACTCGTCAAAAGTTATTGACAAACCTTAATTTTGACGATAACTTTCCCCGAAGTTATCGTCAAAATCACGTGATTTCAATAACTTTATGCTAATTTTGGTGCTGTTACCCCCATTTTTTCGATAACTCGCCGATAACTTTAGTTATGAACGGTGCTGTTAGTCCGCCTAAATCACCACCCGAAACAAGGTGATTTGAATCACCTTCACCACCCATGGAAGATGATTTGACCTTGGAGGAAATTGTCCGATTGTCCGAATTTACATAAAAAAATTTACATGATGGGCTAAATAGAGGTATAATACTTAATTGGGTGCATCTCGCCGAGAACGCTTGCTCGCGCGCGTCACGCGGGCGTCCGAACGCTCGGTCTTACGCGTGTGCGCGCACTTCTCGTCGCCGCGACTCACGCATAGCTTGCAGCGATCGGCGCCTTCGCGAACGAGTTGAGTAGAGGTAGCATCGGTCGGGGCTGATGGACCGTTGACCGGGGCTGGTCGACCGTCGGCCTCTCCAAGAGACTTGATTTTGACGCGCGAACTTCTCAACAGCAGGCAGCGGCTCGGCAGTAATGGGAGTACCCCCTCATACTGTTTACTCATGCATGACGTGACGGGTTATGACTCAACAAAAGGTGTGCACAACCATTATAGGTTAAAATTAAATATGCGACTTCGGTCTCCTTAAGTATATATTCTCGTCGTTTCGTCGCCTTTTGATCTTTAGGCCTCTTTTCATTTGTGTGCGATGCCTCTTTTAAAGGTCTATCCAACGCACTTGAGTTTGCTCGATTCGATGCTGTACTCGCAAAGTTACGTCCGTTCGGGTGTCACGGTTAGACTTTTGACCCGAACCTGATTATACTTAACGACGACGCGGCGGCACGTGGCGACGCGCGCGGGGCTCGGAATGGGTTAAACGCGATGTGCGCGATGGTGGACCTACGCGTTCGTCCAGATCAAGCGTCTGATGGCGATTCTGACGACGACGGTGACGACGACGGGTGCGGTTGTTCTCGAGAGATTTCACGTTTCACGCGCGATTCTCGTTGCCCTTGGTTCCGATCGATCGTCCTCGATTGCGTCGCGACGCGGCGGTTTTACGATCTGAAGACTGATGAACATCGAGTTTACGTAGTCTCGCTGCGCTTGCGCTCATGGGGCTCGCTGGGACTGACATCCAACGGCCACGAGTCGCACCGGGAAGGGAGCTCGTGGCGCAGAAGAGAAAAAGTAGACGTCGACGCAGTGAATTGCGTCGCTTAAGCGCTTCAAGGAAGTTCTACGTGACGAAAAACGCTGGGTTGGCGAGGACAGATCCCAACCATTGGTCTCTCAACAAGGTGGCGAAGAAGTTCAAGTTGAAGTCGCCGAACCGGTAGTCGTTCTGAGCAAGCTTCTCAAGGCTCGCGGTGTGAATTCGCGCCCAGTGGCAAATGGTGGCCAAGATAACCCCTTGCGCCCGATTTTAAGCGAGACTTTGACATCACAGACAAAGCTGATGATGCTGGTGACTGATTTCGTGAAAGACAACGCGGTCAAGATCAGATCGGCCGACGTTGCATTCCTTCCCGGTGGCGTCACGAGCGACGCCGCGATGGCGAGAGCCGAACTCGGGGTGAACAACGCCAAACGCGCGGTCGAGGATGCTGAAAGGAAGCGGCAAGACAAAATACGCAAGGAGGAAGACCTCTTGTGTCAAGCGATTCAAGATGCGCCCGCAATATTGGCGCGAATCGAGTCTCTCAACGATCTGCGCGCGTGTACTCGAGCGCAGCTCATCACGCTCCATCGCAGCGTTTTGAGACTTCATCCAAGGTGGCAGCTGAAAAAAGCTGACCTGATCGCCGCCCTGACGCTGGAAATATCAAAAGAGATTGAAAGTAGGAATCAGCACGCGGAGCCTCACGCTGAACTGCCCGGCGTACCGGTGCCAGCGCCCATCAACGCAATTGACGCAGAAATGCTCAAAATCGCCCACATCGAGCCGATGACGGAGACTCAAACGTCACTCGAGCCGATGCCGATGGGTTGGAAAGATGGAGTGTAACACTAGTGTTGTAATCATTCTTTGATTCTTTGAAATCGGCGAAGCGTCGGCGAGTTGTGAGAACGTAGAGTTAAGGAAACCTCCCCATACATTTTCAAACGATTCGGATCCGCGGGCTGGGAGCCGCGTCTTCGACGTCCGTTCGTCCCCAAACTCGGCGTGTCACGAGTTCGCTAGCTTTCGCATCGTGTCGCAAAAAATCGCGCGGATCGCGCGACGAGCGACGCCGCGACGCGTCGCGGCGACACACTTAAGTATATATCGGTCGCATATTTAATTTTAACCTACCGTAGAAGTCCTAATTAGCGCCCATACTTAATAATTCCAATTTCGTTACAAACCCTCGAGAACGCGTCCGTCACACGCGCGCGCGCGACGCCAAAGTTAGGTGTTACATTTTTCGACCCTTTTTAGGACTTTTACGGTATACGCATTTCAAGCGGTACTGCTTGGACGCCGACGCGTGATGTCGAATTCATCATGTTTTCTTCTCGAACATATTTAATGAAAATAACTCCTGATATGACAAAAAAACAAACCCTACCTAAACCATAAAAATGTGATTAAGCGTGTGTGTGTGTGTGTGTGATTCCGCCGTCGGACGCGATAGCGAGAGTTGGACTGGTGGATATCGCACCTACGACGCGACAAGAGTGGCACAACACCGCGGTTCCACGCCAGTCACACGCGAAGAGTCATACGGTGCGCATATTCACCAGACTCCTCGCTTCGCGTAGTCGAGTTGACGCAAAAGAAAGCCACAATGGGCATCTTATCCCTCCACGTGCAGCGCTGTCGTGCCTCGCTCCCAGCTTCTCGCTCTACGGTAGCACGTAAGCACGCCGGCGCCACGCGTTGCTGTCAAGTCATCAAACGTGCGTCATCCAAATCTTTATCCGCGCTGCATCTGAGATCCCGAGGCGTCACGCAAGTTTCTTCGCGCGAAGATATCGAGGAATTAGATGGTCAGATTGAGGGCATCGAAGGTTATGGTGCGATTTCAACGAAGCCCGCGACCCCGCTCTTGGACACGATCAATTTTCCATCTCATCTGAAATCATTGACCATGGGTCAACTCAATCAAGTGGCGAAAGAGCTTCGCGCCGATCTCATTTACAACGTGTCACAGACCGGCGGTCACCTCGGTTCGAGTTTAGGAGTGATCGAGCTGACTGTGGCACTCAACTATGTCTTCGACCAACCCGAAGATAAAATTATATGGGATGTAGGTCATCAAGCGTATCCTCATAAGATCTTGACTGGCAGAAGAGACAAAATGAACACGATGAGGCAAACGGGCGGTTTATCCCCTTTTACGAAGAGAAGCGAAAGTCCCTACGACTGTTTCGGGGCCGGACACAGCAGTACTTCTATTTCAGCCGGTCTTGGTATGGCTGTCGCTCGAGATATGCAGGGTGAAGACTTCCATGTGATAAGTATCATTGGCGACGGTGCCATCACTGGCGGCATGGCATACGAGGCAATGAACAACGCCGGCTTTCTTGACACGAATATGATCATCATCTTGAACGACAATCAGCAAGTATCGCTTCCCACGCAATACAATAGCTTGAATCAAGATCCTGTTGGTGCACTCTCGTCAACGTTTGCACGACTTCAATCATCGCGCCCACTGCGAGAGTTGAGAGAGTCCGCAAAGGCCATAACAAAACAGATGCCGACACCAGTTCAGGAGGTCACTGCGAAAGTCGATGAGTATGCCCGTGGAATGATCAGTGGATCTGGCTCTACTCTGTTCGAAGAACTCGGGTTGTACTACATCGGAACAGTCGACGGTCACAACTTGGAAGACTTGGTGGCAATTTTACAGGAAGTCAAGGAAACGAGGAGTGTTGGTCCTGTGTTGATCCACATAGTCACCGAAAAAGGCCGCGGATACTCCTACGCCGAGGACGCGCAAGACAAATATCACGGTGTTTCAAAGTTTGATCTGGCTTCAGGGCGGCAAAGTCAGCTGAAAGAGAACGCTCCAAGTTACACGAAGGTCTTTGCTGACGCGCTCATAGGAGAGGCTATGATGGATGATAAAGTCGTGGCAGTGCACGCAGCGATGGGTGGTGGAACAGGCCTGAATCACTTTGAGAAGTATTTCGCTGATCGAACGTATGACGTTGGTATCGCAGAGCAGCACGCTGTTACGTTTGCCGCTGGTCTTGCGTGTGAGGGGTTGAAACCAATGTGCACCATTTATTCAACGTTTTTACAAAGAGGGTGGGACCAAGTCGTGCACGACGTGGCGTTACAAAAGTTGCCGGTGAGGTTTGCAATGGATCGTGCTGGCTTGGTTGGTGCCGACGGTCCGACGCATGCGGGTGCTTATGATGTTACTTTCATGGCATGCCTACCTGATATGGTCGTGATGGCACCGATGAATGAAGCAGAGCTCTGTCACATGGTCGCTACATCTTTAGCTATAGATGACCGACCATCTTGTTTCCGATACCCCAGAGGCGCCGGTGTTGGGTTGAATATGGAAGATGAAAGTGTGAAACTTGTCAATCCAGGCTATAAAGGTATGGTTCTAGATATTGGCAAAGGAAGAGTCCTTCAAGAGGGCACTGACGTCGTCTTGCTGGGCTACGGCACTCCAACGAATAATTGTCTGCAGGCCGCTCAGATGTTGCAGAAGTTTGGTGTTAGTGTCACTGTTGCAGATGCTCGATTCTGCAAACCCTTGGACGGCGAACTCATTCGCCGTCTTGCCAAATCACATCCCATATTTATCACTGTCGAAGAGGGCGCCATCGGAGGCTTCGCTTCACACGTCATGCATTTCCTCGCTACTGATGGACTGCTGGATAGCGGCCTCAAGTTTCGTCCGATGATACTTCCTGATCGCCCCATCGACCACGGCTCATATTCATTCCAAGTTAATGAAGCTGGTCTAAGCGCTTCTCACATAGCATCCACGGCGCTTTCACTGGTTGGAAAACAACACGAGTCGCTCGAGGTCCTCGCAAGAGTTTAGCACGCGACTAGGAAGCACGTTTCGTAATTCGAGCTCATCTCGACTGATGCCCGCGTTGAAGTGCGCATTATAACTCGACAACGATAAAATCAGAAATGTTTCAGAGGGAAGCGCCTTTGAAAAGAAAATTTTGGTTTATATACTTGCTTCCGATGCCCACACCAACGCCCCAAGCGAGTCCGAAGCCCACACCGCAACCACCTCCGACGCCCAAGCCTAGTAGTCCTATGGGCGCGCCTACGAGTAGAAATTAAAACAGGCGCAGCGACCGTGCACAAAGTTACCTCCGAACCCCCAACCGACTCCGAAGCCGCACCCGATGCCGATACCTGCAGGACAGTGTTACGGGCATGTTCCCAGCTACGAATACACAACTCACCTAATCCAACGCCTCTTCCGGCGAGCCTGCGATCTTTCTGCGGCGACATAGAAAGTCGTTTACTGGTGAAGGTTGAGTGAGCGCAGCGCGCGCACCCTGTGAAGAAGACGCGAAACGCCAGAGCTTTGGGCTGTAAATAACCAAGGACTAGGGGTGCACGCTCTGGTACAGAGTTTTGAAAACTCAGTTTTCTGGTACCAGTGTACCGGGCAGAGTTTGTATTGGCAAACAGTGTTGTACCAAGCGTTTTGAGGACGTAGGCTGAAAAGAGATTGCGAAGGCCGACAGACAGCACCGTTCATAACTAAAGTTGGAAAAATTTATATCACACGGGTTCAGAGAGTCCCTACACACATGACGAGTCATGAACCGTCTAGAAATACATATTTTACATCATTTAGGTCTAAAAGTTTGATTCTACAACATATACGAGAGGTACTTCCTATTGCTAATTTGCTCGCCTTTGCTTGCCTTGGCGTTTGTGTTCATCGACCATCTTCTCGTGCCAGCCCCTCTTCCTGCTCAACGCCGTATCACGCGCCGCGCCTCTCATAGGAATCGCAACCAGGTTCGACATACCGATCACGCCATCGCCGTCCATTTTGTTCCCCGTATATTCTCACGGATGTTGTTGATGGTCGCCACTGGGATGTTGAAATCAATGTTTGCGAGGAAGTTGGCGTCTGTTGCGCGCGCGTGCTCATGGAACTGATACTCATCCTTCCAACCGTGCAGTTGCATCTGATACTTCTTGACGTGCTCACGGTAGCATTCTTGAATCTTGTGCGCGGTATACGTCGGATGTTGTGCGATCATCCTCTGCAATATTGCTCGCGTTGTTCGCAGCATCACCACCGACTGCGAGCGAGCGCAAGCGGCGGCGTGCGACTCCGCAGGGTCCCACGATATAATCCCACGATAAAACCCTAGTTAGGGTTGATGACACATGCACAGCACTGCAATACACGCTGACACCACAGTTAAGTGGATACGATGAACAACACGAGGCGTTCAAAGTCCTTTCCGAAGCCCGTAACGCGGCTGAAAGCGACACGTCGAGCGCTTGTGCGCGTAGAACACTCGCGAGAAATAGACACCTAAACCCTATGTAGGGTTTAGGTGGGGTTTAGACGTGGTTTCTTGAGAGTTTGGCGTGGAGTACCAGAGCGCGAGGAACTGCGTGAGGACGTCGCTATGTCCGTCGTATGCCACAGAAACTGGATGAATCTGATGTGACATGCATGTATCTACAACTGTTCATCGCTGCGCGCGTCCTCGCTGCCTCGTCGTCGCGTTATCCGCGCACACGTGTCGCGTGTTGCGAAAACTTGCCGAAATTTGTACAAGGTAAAACACAATGGCTGTACCCTGGGACCTCATACTGTTTGCACATATACAAGTTTTAGAATGGCAATTTCAATAGTTTAACGCGAGAACGCTCATTCGCTGAATTGGAAAATCATCCACCCAAGATCCGGCGGAACCGTTCAGAGGGATACTGGCTTGAATAGATAGTGTACTATGCAATTGTATTAAAATGTATTTTTATATATTTAGATAAGTTTCAATGGATACTACATACGTACATGCGAAATGATAAAAAGTTGCTTCGGCCTGAGATTTAGCCACCCCCCCCATAGATCGTGATTTACCCAACCTAGCCCTCGAGTTACACTCTTCGGGTATGGTGACAATAATACGCATGTATACACGATGGTTCGTGACTCATCACGTATTAGGGACTCCTCTAAAGAAGGATCGAAGGTGTGGCCCGACCAGACTGGTCGGACCAGAAAACTTGCAACATGGGTCGGGCGGGATGCGTAACGGACGAGCGTTACATTTGCACGCAAACAAGCAAAAGTTCCCCGCTGCCGTGTCAGGCATCCATCTGATCCTCCCGCAATCGCGAAGTGATTCGCTCTAATTGCAGAAAGCGGGACACCAATTTTGATCACCGATGACGTCAAAGCAGGTGACTACTCGAATACTCCTCTAAAACCAAAAAAGTCATGAATCTGAGTCTGCAGCAATTGACGCGGCTGTTCGGCGTTCTCAAGATTGAGGATGCCGCAAAAGAACTCGGTATAGGAATAACTGCGTTAAAAAAGCGTTGCCGCGAATATGGGATATACCGCTGGCCGCACCGACAGGTATGAAAATGGCATCTCCCTTGACTTATTCTCACCCACTAACCATCAAGTTGAAGAGTTTAGATAATCTAATAGATGAGTTAGATAAACTAAAGTTCGGTGATAGAGATGACACCTGTGTCAAGGTAAGTGACTATTAACCTTTCGTATGTGGCTCAAATGAACGTGCTATGAAGGAAGCTATCGTGCAGTTGAAGTATTACAAGCAGAAAATAGTGATGGATCCGTGCTACAAGATACCCCAAAGTGTGTTTCGTTTAAGACAAGCCCAGTTCAAGGTACTTCGCTACTCGAATCGTGAGGTTAAATTCAACTTCTAATGTACGATAGGACAAGCATAAACGATCGAAACACTCCGATGATGATTAAATTACTAATACTCTTCTGGTATTGACTCCAAACTTACTCATTTGCTCGAAATTGATGTCAAACCAGCAATGATGGCATCAGTGTCTTCTGGTCTACCGACAGAAATACGGATGCAATCCGATATCTCTTTAGGTGACGAGTAATACCGAATGACGATCCCGCGCGCAAGTAAACTTTTTTTTATGAACTCTGCACTTGCTCCCGTAACCCTGCAGGAAGTTGAGCAAAGAGCGGTACGACAACTGTGACATACTCGCCTGCACAAAATAAAATTGGATTCTGAAGGAAAAGGATCCATAAAATCGAACTGCGACAATAAAGTGAACAAGCGCGCGCGTTCGCACACAATTTTGTCACGAACATCCTATCAGCTTCTAAATTTAAAGTCACGCTGCGTTGAAAATATCCAAACCTGCAAATAAGTGGGGTTTGATAGGGCTGCCATAGCGGCCTCCTCCGCAATTACTGAAACATTGTATGGCTGTTTGACGCGCCAAATAAACTCTATCAGTTCGTTTGGGAAAGCACCGTAACCCACGCGGATTCCTTCGCGTAATGAAGTATGTGAGTGAAAAAAACTTCGTCGACAACGGCGAGTAATTCACCTGCAAGTCCAGCACGTTTGCTGAAGGTACGGAGAACAATTAAGTTCTTACGATTGGGTACTTCTGCTATACGACTCGTATAACTTGAGCTAAACTCCACGTATGCCTCGTCCAGTACTACGAGCACTGGAAGACAAAGTAAACGTTCAAGATCGCTCTCATCGAGAACACTTCCATCCGGGTTGTTTGGAGACGTCAAGAACAAAATCTTTGGATTGTGCTCTGCGACGGCTCGTTCAATCCCATCAACGTCGACTCTAAATGAAGGGGCTGGCCCACGTTTTACATCAATGACACAACCATCTGTACTTGATGTAAACGAGACATAGCGAAGTGGCTTTAGCTGTTGACATACCATTTATGTAACTGTCAAACGAATACATTCCGAAAGTTGGAGGAGTGTTGATAACCTTATCTCCAGGCTCAAGTACGACTCGCAAGAGCAAGTCTATCAACTGCGTGCGGTGTTTAAAACTTCTTATCTAGAGGCAATTACACAAATACCTCATCTGCACCACACCCGACAAGCAAGTTTTCCGCTGGGACCTTGCATTCTGAAGACTAGATGCAGTGTAAGTTCTCGTCGTAATGCTGATCATTGATCGATATGATCTTACCAGCATCGCTCGCAATCGTCGCGACTCCGGGTCTGGGTATATGTGCGGGTAGGTCACAGTCCGCAGTGCATCATAGACCTCTGGAGGTGGGCCGTAAGGATTTTCATTAGCGTCTAGCTTGATGATTTCCGAAGTTGGACGTTGCAGTTGTTCTACATTCGAGTGTTGTTTAGGAGGAAACACGTGGGGGAGAACGTAAGTTCAGAACATACCTGAAAGCACCTCAAATGGTATTATTGGTGTGTAAGGTTGCAGATTGATTATGTGTTTCCGAACGAAATCTGTTGTGATGAGTTCGTTCGAAGTCCGCGAGCTTTTCGCTCGAGAATGAGAACTGTTGGTACGGGATGTTGAGCTTTTTTGCCTGTGCGGTACCCCTCGCCCGTTTAGGTACATTTTCGGGTTGTGAGCGAGGCGAAATCGCGCGCTCATCTTCCGCGTTGATAATCCGTTCCCTCGTTGATCTTGCGAAAATGAGGCGACGATTACAACGGCCGCGGGGCCAACAGAACGTCGAGAAGGTGCCCCGTTTTAGTGATACTGGTCGACTAATCTTAGTCTGCCTCGTATCCCCCGTAGTTACTCTTCGGCCACCTAGTTAACCCGAACGTCGTACTCACCGCGCACTACGTCCCATCGAGATCCATCGAGCGAATTTTGTAAACTCACCGACCCTCGAGTTACACTCTTCGGGTATAGTGACCCTCCCGCGGTATATGGATTTTGACACGGCGCACACGACGAGTCGTGAATCGACCTCTTTTTGGGGCTCTAAAATCCCGGATTTTGACTAATCTCGGGGTTGGTTGTGCACACCTTTTCTTGGGTCATAATCGGTCACGTCATGTATAGGTAAACAGTATGATCGGGGTACTCCAACTTGTGTTTTACCTTGTACAAATTTCGGCAAGTTTTCGCAACACGCGACACGTGTGCGCGGATAACGCGACGACGAGGCAGCGAGGACGCGCGCAGCGATGAACAGTTGTAGATACATGCATGTCACATCAGATTCATCCAGTTTCTGTGGCACACGACGGACATAGCGACGTCCTCACGCAGTTCCTCGCGCTCTGGTACTCCACGCCAAACTCTCAAGAGACCACGTCTAAACCCTACCTAAACCCTACCTAAACCCTACATAGGGTTTAGGTATCTTTTTCTCGTGAGTGTTCTACGCGCACAAGCGCTCGACGTGTCACTTTCAGCCGCGTTACGGGCTTTGGAAAGGACTTTGAACGCCTTGTGTTGTTCATCGTATCCACTTAACTGTGGTGTCAGCGTGTATTGCACGTGCTGTGCATGTGTCATCAACCCTAACTAGGGTTTGGTTAGGGTTTATCTAGGGTTTGGGCAGGATTCAAGGTGGTCTCCTCACGGCTCTGTCAGAGTGAGGTTGTTCTGCCTATTACATTCGACTGAGCGATTTCATCTCGTGAGAACGTCAGTGATCCGATAGTGTGTGATGGATACTACGTGTGGCGAAGCATGCGCACGTCCTCGCTGCCTCGTCGGCGCGTTATCCGCGCACACATGTCGCGTGTTGCGAACACTTGCCGAAATTTTTACCAGGTGAAACACAAGTTGGAGTACCCCGATCATACTGTTTACCCATACATGACGTGACCGATTATGACTCAAGAAAAGGTGTGCACAACCTACCCGGAGATTAGTCAAAATCCTAAAATCCCGGCGAGGGGGTACGCGAGAGAAACGCGAGTCACGACCAAGGACGATCACACTTTCCAATCACACTCACACTCACACTTTTCCAATCACACTCACACTTTTCCAATCACACTCACCCTTTTCCAATCACACTCACCCTTTTCCAATCACACTCACACTCACACCTACACTTTCCAATCACACTTTTGTAGGGTTTAGGTGGGGTTTAATTTTTGGCATATTAGGGGTTATTTTCATTAGATAAGCATGAGAAGAAAATATAATGAAATGGACATCACGCGTCGGCGTCCAAGCGGTCAAATCGATGGGGCATTTCAGCACATCTTTCGCGCGCGTTCTCCGACGCGTGGAGTGATTTGAGTGCGGGCGCCCAAACCTAATCTCTTGCGCAAGACGCCCCAAAACAGCTGCAATTTGCATCTGCAATTTTGCACTTGCATCTTGCAGGTAAAATTTCCCCCACCCCTAGCGGTCAGTCCAGTCGACGAGAAGTTGTCCGACCGCACTTAGGCCTGCAGAGTGCACGGCTCACGGCTTTTTGGTCAATCCGTGTCCACCCGCATCGGCTTACACGAGTGAGTTATCGTGCTTCACGATGTTATCGAGGCGTCTGTAGACGCAAAAGTTGCGTGACTCATGGACTATCTACTCCTCACTAAAAGAACGCTTCCCAAGTTCCTTCTGCCTTCTGCTGCTGCATTTGGTGCGATGGTTCGTCCTGAACGGGCGGACTTAGTGGGCGTAACGAGCGAAACGGTCGGGGTATTCAAATATAAACAACTTTTATCGCAACTCTCGGCGGACAGAGAATCGCAAAATGTACTCCAAGGGCAAGTGTCTAAGATATCCAAGCATGCGCTGCTCAAAGCTAGACTATGTGAGCGTGGTAGTCTTGGTCATGCGTATGCCTCCTTTATGGACAGCCGGATGTTTGAACCAAGCGACAGGCCACCCGTCAGATTTCTCGCTGATGGAAAGAGTCAGCTCATTGCAGTCAGGATGCGTGAAATCCACGACATCTTGCACGTTCTCTTTGATTGTCCAACGACGTTAAGAGGTGAACTCACCCTAAAAGCGATCGAGTTCGTGCAATATGGGATTCCTGCGCACTGGGCCTCCACGTATTTCGCATCAAGTCGGCTAAATCATGAAGAACAGTACTTTCTTGCGACCAAACTTTTACCTTGGGCGGTGCGGGCAGGTTGCACGGCATCAAGGTTGCTTGTCATAGATTATGAGGAGTTCTTCCCGGAGCAAATAGATCATCTACGCAGCGCTTGGGGGATCCAGGTTGTACCGAAATCTTTCTCGTGATATGTGTATGTAACACATTGAGTGACTGGCATGGCGTCGTCAAGAATGAAACTCTTTCACCAGGCGTTACCAATGAATAGGAAAGCGCTCAAGCAGCAGGCAGATGCCATCAACATAATTAAGATACCTAACCAAGTCGCCTTGGATTTTCTTAGTACTGGATGCAATAGAGTTGAGTGACTTCTTGTACCTTCGCCCGGCCAATTGCATACTTCTGTTCTACAGCTTTCAACATCGCTGAGGTCAGTGGAGTCAAAACGATCGCGAGCCATATACGAAGCGCCTTCGTTACTTGACTACCGGTCTTTGGATGTATATAAGAATCAATCAACAATTATGCAGCTATACTTACCCAAACGACAAGAGCAGCTTCTAAGAGGCGTCCTTGAGTGAGAAGGCTAGACTGTACCTCTTCAAGAAAAAGTCATCTCAGTTGAAAGAGTCTTACGTTGTTGAGAAAAAGCAAATAGGCGCACGTGTAAAAACACGAGTTCAGAAAACCATAACTCAATATTCCGGCCGGACCGAGTTCTTTCAGTCTACTTGTTTGCCTAGTCAAGTTTAAATATAACTGCGAGCTGAGTCGTATTCAACTCGAACCTCGCAATGCTACTTCTGCTGAAAATCGACACAAACTTGCTCCTGTCCTCTCGTCCTTGCGAGCATCCATAAGAGGGAAAACCTCTTGATGCAGTTAGACTTGCACATTTCCTGCTAAAGCTCTTTCTGTTGAGGAGCACCTCCACCTTGTTATACTCGCGCACGGGCCCACCGAAGCTGTTCGTTCGTCTTGAGCACACATCCAGATCATAAAATCGTATTCTCATACTCCCACTGCGAAAGTCAGGATGCATGTGGAGCTCTGCCGTCATCCGCGCGCGCTTCGGCGTTGTCGGACCTATCGAAAGTCGAGTCGACTTGGTCGACGATTTAAGCATTTGGGGCTGACTACTCGAGAGTCACGACGTCACGACTCTACAATGTAAAAATAACGCTGTCGGCACCCTATCATGGGAATTATTATCCCGAAAGATTGAGGGCTCCAAACCCCAGTCCGATCGTCGTACGAGGTCGGTCCTCGCGACGGGCCGTGACCGAGGGCGACCCCCGCCCCGGTGGAAAAATTTATACCGCCCCTTTAGAGAGTCCTTCGAGATCGCTGAGTCGCGAATCGTCAAACATCGTGTACATTGCGTCTTTTCGTGTTTTTAAGGGTAAATTTATATATCGCCCCTTTAGAGCACCCCTAGCCATTTTCCCTTTAGAGAGTCCCTACATGCATGACGAGTCATGAAATGTCAAATATCACAATACATTGTGCCTTTTAGCACTGTCAGATCATTACATCACATCACCACTACCGGGTGTTTTCACCTTGTGAAAATTCGTGAAAAACTTGATGCGTGACAAACACGAGTGAAATCAAGCGACGCGACGCAAACTTTAGACGACCGACCGCTCGCAAACAGTGATATATACTCCGCGTTACATAAATTAAGCAGTTACGCATCGTCAACACACTCACACGTGTGCCCGCTGTATCATTTGTATCGCAGTTGCCCTTACACTGTCACGCTGAACTGATGTATTCCAAACCCTAAGAGATGTTCATCGCGCCGAATACCATTCGAAATGAAGAATGCACGCAATGGATCGCGTTTGTGAGGACCCATTGATGTTACTGTCCGCGACAACTAAACCCTATGTAGGGTTTAGAGCGCTGCGCGTTGGACAAGAAATCTGTTAAGCAGCAAGTTAGAATTGCGATGGTAATCCCACGCGTCGTCGGGGTTTGCGCGCTGTGAAACTATGCGAGACATTCAAAACGGGTCTGTTGTCGTCGTTTTCGGGCGTTTTCGTCGCGGCATAGTGGTTACGTCGTCCGTTTCGCTTCAAATCATGCAACTCTGAAGCGTCAAATTTTTCACGAATTTTCACAACGTAGAAACACCCGGTAGTGATATAATTATCTGACAGTGCTAAAATACACAATGTATTGTGATATTTGAACGTTCATGACTCGCTGAGCTCGAGGGACTCCTCTGAAGGTCTGAAGGTGCGATATATAAAATTTATCCCTTATGCCGAGGAAGCTGCCCGGACTGCACGCCGGAGAAGCCGCCGGTCGTTTCCTCGGCTGCACGGCCCTTGGCTCAACGACTTTGGTCGGAAGCTGGCGAAAACCCTCAAAGCGTTAACGTTGACAGTAACTAGCGTCGAAATGACTACAGTCAAGCAGCAAGGCTCGCACACCCTTTATGTGAACAATTTAAGCGAGAAGATATCCAAGCAAGGTAAGTCGAACACTCACTCCGCTCGATGTCCACGAACCTCCAAGCTTTGCAATGAAGTGCACAGCTGGAGAGAACGAGCATACGTCATCACTGTCGCTAACAATCGCAACATAGAGTTACGAATGGCGCTTTATTCAGTGTTCTCCTCGTTCGGGAAGATTCTTGATATCGTGGCCGCCAGAACTTACCGACTTAGAGGACAAGCCTGGATAGTTTACGACACCATGGATGAAGCTCAGAGAGCCTTTGAAGGCCTACAGAACTTTCCATTTTACGATAAACCATTGGTGAGATTGTAGGTGTTCTTCAATCGCTGCTTTGACAACTTCTTCTAGAAAATTGCGTTTGCAAACCTGTCGTCAGACGTTATTCTTCGGCGTGAAGGAGAACAAATCAGCAGAGTTGCGTCCGCCCGGGTAGTAAGAAGGGCAGAGAATCAAGAACGTGAGCGTATGCGACGTACGATGATGGCAGGTGTTCTGTTATCACACGAAGAAGGGGCCGACTGCGACGTCTCAGCTAGCAAGGAAAGAAAATGTATCCTAGTTCAGGGACTTCCCGGTACGTATGCAACTTGCATCGAATATCACTCGCGTAACCTCGCGTCAATCCATTGACTGACAGTGTACATACGCTCTCAGCTGCGACAACAACTCACATGCTGACACTCCTTTTCCAGCAATTTCTGGGCTTCAAAAGCGCAAACATGTCTGCGAAAGAGATAGGGATAGGACAAGTAGAGTTCGACACACCCGCTCAGGCTTCGGCGGCTCTGAATGGCTTACAAGGATTCCGACTAAATGCGGCGCACTCGATTGTTTTGTCATTTTTGTGACATCGTATGGCTTTGTAACAGTGACTTCTTGTTTCTTTGAGAGACATGCGACACATGCTCACGGACGTGACCGTTGCACTATACTCGCTCATCTTGTTGCCAGCGTTAAATCCACGATAAAAGTTGGGTATCGCGCCACTATAAATCCTAGTTGATTCCTGTTCGATTGCGAAGACGCATTTTTCTCACCTGAATTAGTTTTCCTTGCTTGCCAGCTGTTCTCCCATCTCCAACAGTTAGGACCTCTTTGCCAACAACATTTTCTACATTCCGTTCAAAAGCTGAAATGACATCGTCTGATATATCCATCTCCGTCACCCACATGTCCTCATAACCTGTTTTAATGTCAATCATAGTCGTAGTTTGATCATTTCTTTGGGTACCATCAATCCAACGAACTAGGTACTCCCTACCACTATTTGACTCTCTCATAGACAGGATTCGATCTGGAAAGACTTCCTCATATATGTGGCTCTCAATCGTGGATAATATGGATTCTAAAGACACTCTTCTCGAATATGTAGCAGTGGTGACTGGCATATTTGCAAGAAGGGTACGCAATAAGCCTTGAACCTACAAAAGTGGCTGTAAACAGATGTGGACTGCATATGTCAATGGCGCACCGATCGACCTGTTCTATCCTCTAGCTCAGCGTCGGCTCCCGCCTCAAGGAGGCACCTAAGTGCATCTAGGTGCATATAGCCAGCAGCGAGATGCGCGGCCGTATATCCATCTGAATCCTAAGCGAGCGTTCGAAATGAAGTACAAACCGAGCGAAGAGACGCACTTGAGCATTCACGTCAGCTCTCTCTTTCAAAAGTTCTTTCAGCGTAACAGTATTGCCAACGCCGGCGAGAAAGTGGATTGGGCTGATGCGAATTGAAACGTATTGAGATGTGGCGAACACTTTCGAATGTCAGATGATGATACCTCCTCTGTTTTGCATCTCTTGAATACAGCAGAGTCCCGCAGCTGTGCTGCAAAATGCCCTCAAGGGCAACATCCTCGCCCTGTCAATATTTGAGACAGGATAAAATCACTGAATAGCTAAAAAGACCTGTCTACATGCACTCCACCAGTTTGCATCATACTGTGTTTTCAAGTCATCAGCGATGTATTCTCCAGAAAGCCTGCACGTTGTCAGTCTCTGGCACGGAGTGTAGAACGTGTACTTACCAAACTTTGGTCGAATCTTCGAGCAATACTAGAAACTCAACGCCAAAGACCTTATTCCGTTGTAATATTCGCACGTCTTCGACACGCGCAGCTTGTTTTGTGACTACACTGACTGACGTATCCGCAGACTCAGTCAACACCGCCTGCGTGCGTTAGTTTCACTTTTCTGAAAGTGCGGTGGCAGTTAACGTACGAATCGCTGCGGGCTCTTTTGCCATGTGCGATAGCAACGTGAACCGGCAGGCCCTGTGCGTGGTGTAGGATTCGCACGAGTTGCGCTCGGCAAGAATGTGCTCCCACGTGGCCGCGCAGTGAGAGACATCTACCTGGCTTATCTTAAGGCTCGCAGAACCGAAGTTGTTAGCGAAGGGCGACGTTCCGTACGTGAAATGCGCTCAAATATTGAGCCCGCGGCGCGAGTGGTTGGCAGGATATATCTGCTGAAGGAGACGCTCTCCAGACAGAATATCCAGACTCGCGAACTAACGACGCACCTGAGCCCTGCTCCGGCGATCCAACTGCGGCTTTCACGATTACGTGCACTGATCTTGATCACTGAACATGAACAGTCCCGGTTGATCACATAGTCGTCTAGGGCTGGTCTAGGTTGGGTAAAATCTGCATCACGATCTCCATCACGACCCGAAACTTCGTGATTTGCATCACGATCACCACTGATAGATCGTGATGCGACCTTGGAGGAAATTGTCCGAGTGTCCGAATTTAAATAAAAAATTACATGATAGATTAAATATGTGTATAATATGTGACACATGGCCTGCACCACTGTTCAAACTTTCACCAACCGTTTCGACGCGGGGTGCTAGGGTTAGAACAGTGACACAATTTACTTATATCATCGCTGTATTTCCTCGACATCGGTGACGAAATGTCATATTATCAGTAACGTGATGCGTATCAGGTAACTATACCTGTCAATATCAGCAAATGATACGCTTTACATGCTCTCAATATAGCATCACGATCTCCGTCACGACATCGTGATGCGCATCACGATCACGACTCATAGATCGTGATGCGACCAACCTAGGGGCTGGTACAGTCTGTATCGTACAGAGACCGTAACAAGTATGGCTCCGCGGGTCACCATCAGATATTGTAGTGAACATTCCGCTTACAAAATCCGCTCGCCGAGCGGTCGGGATAAATTTATATTGCACAGCTTCAGAGGGATTTTGACTAATCTCCGGGTAGGTTGTGCACACCTTTTCTTGAGTCATAACCCCTAACGTTATGTATGGGTAAACAGTATGATCGGGGTACTCCAACTTGTGTTTTTACCTTGTACAAATTTCGGCAAGTTTTCGCAACACGCGACTGTGTGCGCGGATAACGCGACGACGAGGCAGCGAGGACGTGCACATGCTTCGCCACACGTAGTATCCATCACACACTATCGGATCACTGACGTTCTCACGAGAAGAAATCGCTCAGTCGAATGTAATAGGCAGAACAACCTCACTCTGACAGAGCCGTGAGGAGACCACCTTGAATCCTGCCCAAACCCTAGATAAACCCTAACCAACCCCTAGTTAGGGTTGATGACACATGCACAGCACTGCAATACACGCTGACACCACAGTTAAGTGGATACGATGAACAACACAAGGCGTTCAAAGTCCTTTCCGAAGCCCGTAACGCGGCTGAAAGCGACACGTCGAGCGCTTGTGCGCGTAGAACACTCGCGAGAAATAGACACCTAAACCCTATGTAGGGTTTAGGTGGGGTTTAGACGTGGTTTCTTGAGAGTTTGGCGTGGAGTACCAGAGCGCGAGGAACTGCTTGAGGACGTCGCTATGTCCGTCGTATGCCACAGAAACTGGATGAATCTGATGTGACATGCATGTATCTACAACTGTTCATCGCTGCGCGCGTCCTCGCTGCCTCGTCGTCGCGTTATCCGCGCACACGTGTCGCGTGTTGCGAAAACTTGCCGAAATTTGTACAAGGTAAAAACACAAGTTGGAGTACCCCCACCATATTGTTTACCCATACATAACGTTAGGGGTTATGACTCAAGAAAAGGTGTGCACAACCTACCCGGAGATTAGTCAAAATCCATTTAGCCACCCCCCCTCTCACAGATGCGAGTCCTGATTGGTCGTATGTGAATGGATTTTCGACAGATTTATCGCTGTTTGATAGTTTAGAAATTCAATACATTATACGTTGGTCAATTGATAAAAAGTTGCTTCGGCCTGAGATTTAGCCACCCCCCTGTTCGAACCCTAGCACCCCACGTCGAAACGGTTCGTGCGAGCTTGAAAGGTTAAATCACGATCTATGGGTCGTGATCGTGATTCAAATCACGAAGTTTCGGGTCGTGATTTAGATCGTGATTTGAATTTTACCCAACCTAGCGACGCGGTGTGTTGTGTTCGCGACGCGGTGTGTTGTGTACGGACCCGAACGTCGTACTCAACGTACGCTGCGTCCCATCGAGTGCCATCGAGCGAATTTTGTAAACGGACAGGCCAGTATTCACTACAGTATGTTATGGTGACCCGCGGAGCCATACTCGTATGACAGCTCGAGAAGAGAATGTCCAACCTCCAGTCCTCGGTTGACCTGATTGCTGGTAGGACTGCTTGAAATGCGTATCAGGAATTTCCTGATACGTATCAGCGTACTGGTACGTACCAGCCGAATGTCCGAACGTGTTAATCGTATGGGTAAACAGTATTGACCAGCTGGTACGAGCTGGTACGAGCTGATACGAGCTGATACGGAGGTGACGAATCGACGAGAACCGCGCGAGAACCGACGCACTTCGCGCGCTTACTCTATCTATCGATTCAATTTTCTACTCTTGCTACGTCTGTCCTTCTCTTGACGCTCTAATGCCTTGCGAGCTGCCTTCTGTGCAAAATTTGCCTTTGCCTTGTCCCGAGCGGGACGCGAGTCATCATCCTGTACCTGCATGTTTTCATCGAGGTTACCTACACATGTCATTTCCGTTCGATTCGAAACGTTTACAAGTGGTAACATGACTCGGTCGTCTGTGTCTTTGACGTACTGGTCCACATGCTCGTCACCTGACGAGAAGATTTCGTCGTCTCTGATTCCATCTTCATCACCATCGCTGTCAGCAACTACCACGGCACCGACGGCTACTTCACTTTCTTCTACCTCGCACACGTCTCTGATGTCAAATGTATGCTTCGCGGGGCTGATACGTGGCTCTTCCTCCCTCTTCGATGTTGTCAAGCGCTCGAGGAAGGGAAGCTTCTTGAGCACCCGCTTCCTCTTGTTCCATGCATCATCGAATTTCGCCTGATCATCGCGCAGCGCGCGCTGCGCGCGCCGTTTTCCGCTTCGCCATCTTCGCTCATCACCGCGACGCCCGCTTCGTCGACGCTTGACATCGAGCGTCGACGACTACCGCGCGCAAGTACGTGCGCGAGTGCTCAGCCGTGAGAATTCAGATTCAAACTCGCGCGAACCCGTCAACGCCTAAACCCCGGTCGCACCCCCTCGCCCGCGCGCGCGTCGTTCGTCTCTTCTTTGTGCTATTTTCACGCCGTTTGGGCGCGGCGTCGCGCCGCTGTGGCGTCACAGAGCGCAACCTCACATATTGAGAGCTCAAAAGTGACCTGTATCGGGAATTTCCTGATACGTATCAGAATCGACGATTTTCATACTGTTTGCCCATACGAAAAGTCTGTTACGTTGATACGCTAATACGGTATCAGTACGTATCAGGCCAAGCAGGCCTATTTGCTGGAAATACTACTACCTACCGGACACGCGTCATGTATCACACGTGACTTGGGAGCTTGCAGCGCTTCGCCTTGGTCGACGTGGTGCCACTCACCGGAACTTGAAGAACCACTCCAGCGCAAGGGTAACGCGAAGTAAAGTATTACCAGCGCTTGAACGCAGAGTATTCTGGGTCAGGGCTTCTTCGTAACGCTGGGCCGATGAGGCTTTGTACAGGGCTCATCGTGTTGTGGCTATATGCGGCTGTTGTGGTACACGCCTACGGATCGGGAGAGGAACGTGAACGAACCAGTCAACTATTAGAGAGTACCCCCACGACTGAAGCCACGACGACATTGACGATCGACGCCGCAAAGGACCGAGTTTTCAATAAGACTATTGCAGCGCAGTTCAACACGCTACTTGAGAAAGAGTTTGACGAAGAGCAGCTCGAGGTGGGAGGTACCACACCTGGTGCCGGGAGGAGTTTCAGTGACTCCGTTCGAAATGAGGGAGCAACGCTTGAAACGGTGGTCCGCCTTCATAGACCTCGTGGCAGTGACGTGCCAACAGAAATTTTTCATGACAAGAAAGTCTCAGAAGAAACGGAGCAAATTTCCCCACAGGTCGCAGCAGAAGACGCTTTGAGTGATACCGCTAGTAGCGTAGACACTTTAGATAGAGGACGAGAAGTGGCAGGATCCGGTGTCGATTCAAAGGATGGGCCTCAAGTAAACAAACGAGAAGGTACACTATTTACTCAACTTGTTAGCGTCAAACGCGATATAAACAAGGTTTTATCCAATGAAGAAATTGACAACGATGTTGACCGTTTAGTTGACTCAGCGGACAATGAATTCGTGATATCTAATCCTAAGAGGGGAACAATGGAGCTGCAGCAGGATTTGCGATTGATAAACGATCTTGTTATCATGCTATGTTCGGCGGCGTTGGGGGGCTCAACCTTTGCGCTTCTCAGGCAACCTCTAATCACTGGCTATCTTGTGGCGGGCTCACTTGTTGGTCCGGGTGGTTTGGGCATGATAGTGGAGCTCGTTCAAGTCGAGACTTTTGCGCAATTTGGCATCATTTTTCTCCTTTTTGGGTTAGGCCTTGAGCTCAACGTGTCAAATCTCCGGCAAGTTCACATTGTGGCCGTGTATGGTGGTGCACTTCAAATGCTACTTTCCATGCTCGTCTGCGGTGTAATTAGTGATTTCGCGGGCGCATCTGCTAAGGAGGGGATCTTTGTCGGTGCTTTTCTGTCTGTGAGCTCAACGGCTGTAGTGAGTAAGAGCCTTCTTGAACGGGACGATCTCCATACAGCGACTGGGCAAATTACTATGGGTACGCTAATACTACAAGACTGCGCAACTGGCTTACTATTCGCTCTTATCCCGGTCTTGGGCAGTAGTGAGGGTGTCGGTTCGACGTTTTTAAGCTTTGTCAATGTTCTGATGAAGATGATAATATTTATGCTAGTATGCACAGTGCTCTCTGGGATAGTGACTACGAGGTTGTTCAGATTCGCCTCGTCATATGGTGATGAAAGCTATCAACTCACAGGTGTAGCTTTCTGTCTGCTCGTAGCTCGCATTACGGAAAGGTTCGGGCTTTCCATGGAGCTTGGTGCATTTCTCGCTGGGGTCGCGGTGTCGGCAACCCCATATGCCGAAAAGACTCTTCATAGTCTCGAACCCTTTCGTAACATCTTTACCGCGCTTTTCCTCACTTCAATTGGTCTCATCATGAATCCGCACTTTCTATGGTTGCACTTGGACGTACTACTTCTGTCGGTCTGCTCTCTAGTTATATTTAAGACGACATTGATTGCTGTCGTCGTGCGCGCCTTCGGGTATAACACGTATACGAGCTTCACTGTTGGAGTATCGTTGGCGCAAGTGGGAGAACTTTCGTTCGTGCTCCTTTCAAGGGCTTCTGCGGTCAATCTAGTTGAGCGAAAGTTATACCTTTTACTCCTTGGAACGACAGCTCTGAGTCTTGTGCTAACACCTACCCTCTTCAGGGTGACACCTGGCATATTGAGAGTCGCCACTGCTGCTCACTTTATCAACCAAGACGACCAGTCCCTGCCTTCGCACAAGTCTTAGCCGTGAACAACTGCAAAAAGATGACAAGTAGACAGAGGGGCATATGTGATGTAACGCAGAAAATGTAAAAATATATACCCGCTTCAACTACTTTGCACAAGGATCATGCCAGAAATGAGCCCGTACAGTGCAAGGGCTTCTGAAAAAATCAGAATTAAGACAGCAGGTGCAAAAATTCTCGGTTTACTAGCGACGGCCTGAGTTGAGCTTTCTCCGATAACACCTACGGTTACACCGCTCGCAAACTGTGCAACTCCACAGCAGACTCCTGCGCATAGATGTGAATTGCCACTGAACTCGGAGTATTCCTTGCTCGAGCCACTCAAACTTGCAAGAATAATTATACTGAGCACCAAGCCATAAATGGCGCGTACACCTGCCATTGCGACAGGTATGATCGCCTTGACTGTAACACCTGGATTTCCAGTGGCCCCTCTGCATAGACCCAATCCTGCTTGTGCGGTACCGTATGCTGCTCCCAAAGCTAACATGGAGACTCAGCGTGTCGGAGACTAGTCAGAGTGATACCAAGTACCTGATAGGGTCAAACAAGCAACAGCGCCAGTGACACCGTAGAACTCGCCGCGGTTGATAGCCATCCCCGCACTACGGCACACAACGCTTGCGGCGTGTGCTATTCGCAAATGCTCGCGGCAGTTTTATTGAAACTGCGGCAGCTCCTTGCACGGAGACTAGTATGGCTGCAGCAGCTGGTTACTTGTATTCCGCGCAGGTATCACGGAAGGCTTGTCCGAGCTTTGGGACGACGATGGTTACCAGCTGGGTTGGGAAGAATCATTATAATGATACTTGTACTTGCATCACTTTAGGCCGACTAAGAGACGGGTGTTTTCCAGAAACACGGTGTTAGGATTATTGCAGGCTAAATACGGTTATATAGCCTTCCCGAGTCCTGAGTATGTGACGAGTCATAACTCATTACATGTAGACTCTAGAGTTCGAGACAACTAGCTTAGACTTTTAATGAAACTATAGATCTTTACGCACAGAACGCGCTACGACGCGATCACCACGGGACCTTAAGCTTACACTTAGGGCGACTAACAGCAAGCCATTTTCATAACTTTAAGTCCGAGTTATGAGAAAAATGGGGGTAACAGAAAGCTTTTTTCATTAAAGTTATGAAAATGACGTGAAAATCCTCCTAACTCGGGCCCGAGTTATGAAGAATTTTCACGTTTCTTCATAACTCGGGACGAGTCAATCCTTGAATTAATTTCGAGGGGGTCGAGTTAGGCCCAAGTTATGAAATTCTGCTGTTAGTCATGTGACGCATAACTCGGACAAGTGGACGTGAACGGAATCGAGTATGATTGAGATCACAGTTCATGACTCGTCAACGTGCCCGAGTTATGACGGAGTTATGAAAATTAGCTGTTAGTCATTTTCGCCTAACTAGGGTCTTAAAGTTA